GCAATGCAGAACCCAGGGCTGGAACCAGGGACGCAGGAATTCTTTGCAATGAATGTGCACAGTTTCATTTCTTCCCGTGCTGAAAGATCAGCATGGCCACTTCTCAGCGGCTGCAGCTGGCGTGCTTCTTGCCCGCATCCTCCTCAGGACGGAGGAGCAGCAAAGAACGGGCAGAGTAAAACCAAACAGAAATGCCTCCTCGCTGAGGCCACTGAGCTTCGCTTCATCGGTGGAACTTCAGTCCCTCGGAATGTGGGGACTGCGTTAGGCAACAGTGGCTAAGGAGGTGGATGCTGCTGGAACAAAGGAAAAGCACGTTGAGTGAAAGCAGCCTGGACCATTTTCCTCACACAGAACTATTTGATGGGGAGCAAACAAGCAGGCAGCCACCTAGGTCCCAGTGAGCTGGAAGTCCCTGCAAGCTCCATTGTGATGCTATCCCTCTGCGTGTCAATCAAAGGCACCCGTTTTTCCCAGGATGCCCCGTGTCTCATCTAGGACCAAGAAGCGGAATTGCCATGAGGATACATGGATATTAAACAAGATTCTCACACATGCAGAGCCACCCACTCCCGCCCTCATAAAAGAAGCCAAAAATCGGGGAGAGTTTGCTTTTTGCCATGGACTCTCTCTCACCACAGACCACAGCAGGAAGCGCTGTTCAGGTACTCTCTCTCTCTCGCTCGCTCTTCTCTCTCCTCCTTCTTCTCTCTGTTCAGGCAAGTCTCTGGCCACTCATGATGGAGATGTCTCCATGTGGAGCAGCACATGTCAACACATAAACATATTTTCCCTCTCGATGCTAAATCCCATTCCTATTCTACACGTATAGAAATGTCTACACTTCAGAATTATTCTCTGTGTGAGACAAGCGCCTGGAAAAAGATTAGAGTGCTCATGCCCATGCCATAATTGGTGAGCCATAATTGGAACAGGACTGACCGCCACCTCCCAAAATGGCAGTGGGTAGGTGAATTTAAATCTCTCCGCTTCATGAGTTTCCTAACAACTTATAAACACTTTGAAATCCCTCTCCCTCTAGCTGTCTCAGAGTTTTGGGCAGGCCTCTGAAAATGCAAATCTGGGGGGCTGACATTGTGGCACAGCTGGGAAAGCTGCCTCCCGGCACCAGCATCCCATACGGGCTCCAGTTCGTGTCCTGAATGCCCCACTTCTGACCCAGCTCCCAGCTAAGGTGCCTGGGAAAAGCAGCAGAAGGTGGCCCAAGTGCTTGGACCCTTGCCACCAACTTGGGAGACCTGGAAGAAGCTCCTGGCTCCTGGCTTCGGCCTGGCTCAAACCTTGGCTGTTGCAGCCTATCTGGGGAGTAAAACAGTAGGTGGAAGATCTCTCTGTCTCTGCCTGTCTCTCTGTAACTCTTTCAAATAAATAAATCTTTTAAAGACACAAATCTGGTTGGTCCTGTTTTCATGCTAATAGCAGCCATGCAGCAGCAGGAGCAGGTTGCTACTGATAAGGGGATGCTGATGGTGACACAGACACAAAGGATGCTGGCTCTTGGCCACCCACTCGTGGCGCATGAGTGCCCACAGTCTGGCCTCAGTGTGTTTCTAGAGTTAGCACCCAACACAGGACACATTGGCTCTCGGCGCTGAGCCCCTACAATTGGATTGCACATGGCTTTAGCTTCATTGCAGATTCTGAGTCAAGTCTTCATGTTTGTCTTCCGGTATGACTTCATTAACTCCGCCCCTTTGCCTAATGGGAGGAAGAGGACCTTCCATTGTAGTGGTGGTTCCTCGCCGGGAGGACAAGGGTGGAACTTCCTCTTCTGGTCTAAGATGGACAGGCCCCATTCATGGTGGCACAGGCTGGTCATGCACTGTCTCTCGTCTGGACTCGCTTATGGATGTGGCCTCTGCTAGCCAGCTGGGGCTTGGCACTCTATCACCAAGCCGCCCATCCCTCCCTGCAGGGGTCAGCTTTGAGAAATTCAAATACTGCAGTTATTCAGCTCCAACACACTTGCACACAGGTCCCATCCCTGGGAGTAGACTCCAAGCATGTGGCTCAATGCCCCTGGAAATCAAGGGACCTAGGTGTGGTGATGCAAACCCCTCAAGATATTTGGGGCACTGGACTTCAGGGTTCAGTCTGAACTCTGAACAGCAGCTTCAGCTTCAGACACATTGTGAATGCTGGTATCTCCCTGAGAATAGACCCCCGGGCATGGGTTCAATGCCCTCTAGAAGTTAGAAGCCCTGCCTTCACTTATATTTGGGGTGTTGGAAAAGGCCCTGAGATACACATCTCACACATGGGTCAATTTCCTCTTTGGGTTCACCTAGAACCTTAGGTGTGGTGACACCTAAGGTATGGTGATGTCCCCTGGAGGCCAGGAGCCCCAGATACAGAGATTAGAAGGCCCCAGAAATATCTGGAGGCACTGGACATCTGTATCTTAGGTCTGAGGCAATATCCCAGATCTAGATCCACCTGCAGGGAGTCCTAAAGTGGGCTGGAATCTACGGGGAGCCCTACCTTGCAGGGCAAAAATAGATCTTGGGATGCCAGATGTCAGAGCACATTGAATTCAGGTCACTGGCTTACACATCACTGGGCCCAGAGATCACCACGCCTATGGCTGAGTACAACCACCTTTGAGAAGCCGCAGTGGGAACACACGCATAGCCAGAGTCTGTCGCCCTTCTTCGTGATATTACTCAAGGATAACTCAAATGTAACTCATCCTTCACGGGTCCACCTCGGGGCTCTAGCGAAAGGACGAAGCTCACTTCAGCAACCCCGGGGTGCGGCTATCTTGAATAAGAAGGACAGTCCGCAAGAGGGGCGGGCAAAGCTTGCATCCTACTGTGCACAACCAAGCTCGCCGAGTGACGCGTTGCACCTTGTCCCCTCTCACAGGTCCCTTCCCTCGCCCCGCACGTCTCTCTTCTCTGACCTCTGGCCCCTGTCCAGGCTCTCCCCAGATCTCCACCCCGGTTCCACTGCACACCATTTAAACGTCTCGCAAGGTCAACAGTTTCGGATTCCCACCCACACAAAGGTCCCGCCTCAGGACCTCCTTTGCAGGGAAGTGGAGCAGCCAGGCGGAGTGATTGTCAAAAATATGGCTGGAGAGTAATGGCTTAAAATAGCACTTTTCTCTGGCAGATAATAAAATGTGAAAATGAAATACCGGAATACAACGGAGATTGGAAAAGTTGGAAAGCCAGGAGCATCTGTCCATGTTTATGGTTACTCACAAAATGTCACACGAAGCCAAGCTGTGACAGCTTAACATTTTTAAAGTTGCTTTCACACACCTCGGTCAAGAAAGCTCCGCTCCTGTGGGTGCCATAATTTTGGTTCAGGTTTCTTTCCTGAAACACTATAAGTATCAACTTTAAGAAGTCCAGTGTTTTCCAAACTTTCACAAATTGGGGTCCACAGGGTCTTCTATGATATCTAAGAGACTTCTTAGTTACATTCTAACTTTAAGACCAGAAATTCTGATATTTCATTGTGAAGAAAGCAAGGGAAGATCATAGACAATTTGGGACAGCTTCTTCAGGACCCCTCATACATACAGTAATAATCACTGGTAATTATATCTTTGATCATTATTAATCATGTATCAAAGAGATAGTAATTGAAATTCTGATCAGAGAGAACCAGATCATAATTAATACTCAACTGTATATGAGTTTAACTTTGCTCACGCTCATTTCCCTTCTTCTAAACACTCTCCCACTCATTGTCACAGAAGATCCAGAAAAACCATCTTCTGACATAGTTTTTATCAGGCCATGGTTTTGATTCAGAATCTGCAATGATTCCCACATTTCCTCAACCAAATGTTGCTGTAAGAGAAAAGTAGCCTGTCTCTTGTCTTGGCTCAGACACACGACCACATGTACATCATGCTGTAAGCTTGCGGAAGGCCCATGATGCAGAGTTCTTCCTCGCACCCTCCGTAGAATCAAGCCCGGAAATGCACACATAGCCAGGATAAGAAGTGAGTATTTGCCATAGCTATCACCAGGACTTAGCTCTACCTTCTCCACGCCAACACCTGCTTTCCTTTTCCCTTTGTATCCTAAAATAGAAAAGGAAGCGCAGGGTAGTAGCTAACGTGGCTAACGCAGTAAGAGCGGATACACAACCTGTGGGCGAATTGTCTTCTAAAAAGCAGGAACACAGGACCAAGTTTTAGACTTTGCAACAGTTTTCCAAGATGAAATTTGAAAGCAGCATAGAAACTCAGGTGTCTATCATAATGCATTGGCTAAATAAACCACGTTCATTCATACAATGGAAAACTGCAGAATTGCAAGGTTTTCTTTTTCTAATTGAACACATTGGTGATTCAAAAAGCAGTGGGCAATGAGAGCTTTTATTTAGCATTTTACTGTCACCTTCATCATGTTTTGAATTTATTGCCAATGTTATTAAAGTTTTACCACTACTCTGACCCTGTTTTCCATTTCAGATGCATAATTTCCTCACCTTATGGAAGTTTTCATTCATTCTTACATAAATAATTTCTCAGATATCCTTTAGGGATCTTCCAGATAGAGGATTGGATAGCTTTGTTCTCTTTTTATCTTATTATCTGGTAAATTATATTATGTTATTTATTGTACCGTATTTTTACTGTACTACACTTTTAATTTAAAAATAGCATTTGGTTGGTTCAGAAATTGACAAACCAAATAGTAGGAAAGAGTGTCTAAAATCAGACACAGAACCATAGTAAAATTGAGATTATAATAAAATTGATATTAATTGTATAGCAAAATCATTAAACACAGACGAGACTATGGTTCATTATTAATAAATTCTCGATGTACGAATTATTTTAAAAAATGAAACTATGAAAGTACCAGTAGAAACTTAGCAAATTTGAGGGGATTTAAGTTTTGCTTAGTGAGAAATACCTTTCTAATCTACAAAGCTGGTGCACTTAGTTACCAAAGAATTTGAATTTTTTCCAACACAAAGCACACTAAAACGAAGCCAAACAGCCGGGGACATACATGTGGCGCTCACACCCTTGCCCGGCGTCTCTGGAGGGCAGTCGGGGTCTTCCTCGGTGTGGGACCACGGTTCTGGTCCCCACGCCCCCGCGCACCGTCAGCACGGTCCTTAGTCTCAAAATAGCACCTTCTCCTGCAGCGTCCCTGGGCACAGACTGCACCTGCGCGCCCACCTTGGCTTAACTCTTGGGGAGGCCAGCAGCGCCGTGGTGCGCAGGCCGAGCAGCTGGGAGCCGCCTTCCCTTTGCAGCCCGCCAGGGTGTGGCGGTGCAGCTACGCAGCGGCGCTCCCCAACGGCCCCAACCGTCCACCGCCTTGAGCTGTTGGTGGCTTCGAAATCGCGTGCGTGGCCTTGGCGTGAAGCCGCTTGGCGCACGGCCCCTGGTGCGCGCCGCCGCCTCTGCTTGGAGAAGAAATAAAAAAATAAAAATGTAAAATTAAGTATCTACTGCTCGTGTTAGACCACCCTCCCGCCTCACGCTCTAGTGAGTGGAGGGCGCTAATGTAACGGTTCCAGAGTTTTGCATTTGCCGGTGAACTGGACCTCAATTTGTTTTTCAGGTGGTCCGTATCTGTGTGCACAAGATTACCCAGGCTTCCTAAGACGCTCAAAGGGAGACTCCTCCTGAGACCGCTGTTCCTGAGACAGTTGTCTATGGCCTGGAGATGTGGTAGAATTCATCACCCACATCATCTGAGCCGGGTGTTTTCTGAACGGTTTTAATGATTTCCTTTCTTTTCTGGTTAAAGGACACTCCCAGCTATGTGTTTCCTCTTGTGTCAGTTTTGGCAAACTTTGTGTTCTAGAAAGTTGTCCATTTTCCATAAATGTTCAAATCTACTAGTACTGTCTCCACTTTGTCTCCTGTTATTTGTGCTTTCCTTTCTTTAACTGAAATCGGCATCCTTGTCCTTAAATCTATTCACAGCATCATCGTTTCAGCCTGAGAATCCCCTCAGTATTATACTTTTTAAAAAGTCAACTCTGTTCTTTGTTAACTACTTCTTTCTGTATTCTCTGGGTTTATTGCTTTGCTTTCCTGTTGTTTTTTAAAGATTTATTTATTTATTTATTTGAAAGTCAGAGTTACACAGACAGAGGAGAGACAGGGGTCTTCCAACCGCTGGTTCACTCCCCAGTTGGCCGCAATGGCTGGAGCTGTGCCGATCAGAAGCCAGGAGCCTGGAGCTTCTTCCATGGCCCCTACGTGGGTGCAGGGCCCAAGGGCTTGGGCCATCTTCCACTGCTTTCCCAAGACCATAGCAGAGAGCTGGATTGAAAGTGGAGCAGTCAGGGATCGAACCAGCACCCATATGGGATGACAGCACTGCAGGCCAGGGCTTTAACTCACTGCACCACAGTGCCGGCCCCCAAAATAAATCTTTTTTAAAAAAAAGAAATGTGTGGAAGAATCACCAAGGTGCTGGTCTGTGAGCTATGGCAAGGCCCTCGGCTACATTTTCTCTTTAGTCTGGTGCGCTGGGTACATTCAATTCACAGTCCCCCCAACACCAGCCCTGAAGGATCTATTTCTCCCTACAGTCTGAACCCTAGTTTGGCTACACATCCATTCAGTTAGTAAGAGAATGCTGCAGACTTGATCTTTGACCTAACTGATAATTGCCCCTGATGGCTGGACCACTTTCTTTGTTGGCAGGAGAGAGTTTGTAACCAATCATCTATTTAGCAGCTGGTCCAATAATTAAGTTGTTTCCGGTTCTTGAACTTTGCCCAGTGTTTCCTACCCAGAGTTAAGGGAGCTTTTCCTGTGTATTTTTCTAGATTCAGTAAGAACCAAACACAACTGGACTGCCCTGGGTTAACTTTTTTTGTCTAATTCCAAATTTTGGTCTTGGGAATCCTCCAACCACCTAGCATCTACTCCACACTTGTGTGCCAGTAACTTCTTATCCAACGCGCATTCACTTAAGCCAATTGCCCCCTAAAAGCTCTTAGCTTTTCTGGGAGAGCTCCCTGCACGCACACAAACCAGAAGGCCTCTGCATGGCTCTGCCTCGGGTTTGCTAAAGAAGGGCTGTCCTTCAGAAAGCTGAACTCCTGGCACTTGGTCTTATTCGTTAAATAGAAGAGCCTGTGTGCAGAAAGTCAAGTCAGAAATTGCCATTGATCTTTGAGCTCCCTTCTATGCAGTAGAAGGTCTAAGGGCCCATTGGTCCTGAGTATGAAAGTATTGTGCACATACAAGAAAGTATTTTTTTTTCATTTGACAATGTATTTTGGGATTTTATACTGATATACTAATATCCTGATTTCTACAGCTCCCTGTTTTTACATATAATCTATGTTACTATATATAAATCAATACATATTTGAAGGAAGCTAAATTTGATTTATTTAGTTAGTTAGTTGAGAGACAAAGCTCCCAACCATTGGTTCACTCTCCAAATTCCCACATTGGCAGAGGTTGGTTGGGCCTGGCCAAAGTCAGGAGCTGGGAACTCAATCCAGGTCTCCCATGTGACCGGCAGGGACCCAAGTACTTGAACCATCACCACTGGCCCCCGTGGGCTGAGAACTGGAGTCAGGAGCCAGGCCCAGGAATCAAACTCAGATATTTTGATAAGGGATAAGAATATCCTAAACAGCATCTGAAACTCTGGGCCAAATGCCCACCCGTGTATATGTATATATATGATTATTTACGTTTTGTCTTCCACATGGTGTGGTAAAGCATCCCAGTTTAGCAAATATTATTATATAATATACATTATATAATATATTCTATATTAATCTATCTCTATTATTAAATTTCTAAATGATATACCTACTCATGTTTATACATTTACATAAAATGCTGCTTATTTTTCCATACATATTTATACATACATGTTTTCTGATGCTGATATCTATATTAATAGTTACCAAACTAAATTATTGTCAGGTAAGGGCTATTCATGACTCCAACTAGGATTGAAATAGATGTGTGGAAATAATACTCAATTACTGGTGTAAAATTCCTTACCCAATCTGTTGCTATTGAAGTATCTGCTGTCTGGTGCCTTGTGCATACTGAGTTCACACTCCATATTCAGCTCACACCAGCCCTGAAAGAACTTTCTTTCCTATGAGCTACACCCTAGTTTGATCATATTCATCACTCATCCAATTCAGGAAACAGAGCAAGCAATTGACCTTTGACCTACTTTCCTTTCTGGACCACTTGCTTTGTGGCCAGAAAGGTTTTGCAGGCCAATCGTCTGTGTTAGGAGTTTCTCAATCTGGTTTTCCTAAGGCGCATGGCATCCCCAGGTGTATCTGATCCTAGGCCACTGAGGCTTTGTCTGGGGCTCTCTTGCTCTACTTTGATCCATAGAGAACATGTTTGCAGTGGAATGTAGAGCTTTTAGTACCTTATGCTGTCCTGGTAGTAAGAGCCATCTTACTGCTTGGTATCATTCTCACCACTGTGTATCCCTGGAATCCACAGCTCCCTGAGGACTCAGACCCAGCTGGTTTTCATGGCTTGGATGGCTCCTACTCTACCACACAAACTAGGAGACCACTGTACCAGCCTCCTTTGGTGGATTTAACGAAGTATCTCCCGTATATCGAAAGATTTCAGAGATTTCCATGCCTCACTGTGTGGTGGTTGCACTTAAGCTGTAAGTTTGTAAGACACTGCCCTGTGCTTAAGGTCAGCCTCAGGTCCCGTGGAACTAGCTGTGTGGCTCCCTTCCACCCAGTAGACGATCAGGCAGCCCACTGGTCCCAGAGGCGAAAGCAAATTCTATGGTATAGTAGCATATATGTGCTTTTCAGTTTGCTTATTTGAGAATTTTTTATATTAATGAATTAATATTCACTCTATGTATCTACCTACCTTTGTATAAAATTATATCTACATAGAGATATATAGATATATTTTGTTTATATAAACCTCTTATATGAATTTATAAGTTTATGTTTTATCTTACACACTGTGCTGAAGCACTCCATTACTGCAGATTTAACTACATGTTTATATTAGTACATTTTACATTTTATATTTTTAAAGATTTATGCTTATATGTTTCTGTTTCTTATTTACATATACTTTTTCATTTATAAATTCTTCTGTTGATATCTATATTAATATTTATCAAATGAGCTACTGTGGGCTGAGGTGATAATTTATGATTCAGACTTGGATTGGAAACCAAGAAATTGTGGCAATAGCACCAAGCGGGTGGTTTAAGACCCCTACACAACTCTGACCTTTTTCATCTCTGTTTTGGTGCTTTTGGTATACTCAACTAATACTCCCCAGAAATGAGTTCTGAGACAACTGTTCTGTCCCTATTTTGGCTACACTGATCATCCGTCCAATCCTGGAAGCATAACCCAACCCTTGACTAATTGATCGAGTTCTCTTAGGGCTTGCAAACCAATTACCTGTATTAGAAGTTTCTCAGAAAATCAGTTCTGCCTCAGGTACATACTCCCCCCCCCCCCCCGGATATTGTTATAGAAACAATCTACTTAGCTCTCTAGATTAAAATAGAACTTTTTTTTTTTTCTGGAATGTATAGCTTTCATTATGTCAAATACTGACTCTGGGAATGATCCAACAGCCTGGAGTATATTCAAAACTTGGCAAAATCATCCCTATAATCCTGTGCCATCTTGCCACATACCCACTCACTTGAATTCGTAGCACCCCAATGACTCACTCTGAAGTGACATTTATTTCTTGCGAGAACCCCACTCCACCCGTGCAAACCAGGATACCAGTGCATGTCCCTTCCTTTGGGATCTTCTCACACTGGGCAGATCAGGTGGCCAGATTTCCCTCGTAACCATTTCAACCTCAAGGATTATAATTTTCCAGGAAGGGAAGATCAATTCACCAACTAATCAAATGACAAGTCAAATGAAGCAAAGACAGTTCCCAAGTTAACGTTTATCGCAATGCACACAAAAACATAGTAAGCAAAAGGTCTATATGAAAAAAAAAACAAAGTAGGTGAAAGAAAGGAACTCAAGCTCGGGGTGCTGGTGAGGAGCCAAACACAGTGTATTCACAGAGGAAGGTCCCCAAATGGTCTGGAAATCACGCCCCTCCAAGAAGACTCCTGAGTGTTCTGGGCTGCAGTCAAGCTGTCAGCAACAAATTAAGGGCTTTTCACTCTCGCAGGGCCTCCTGCAGCTAATTCCCTTTTCAGGGTGAATTCTCACAGCGAGATGTGTCTCAAGCAGCATTTTGAAGGCACTAGAAGGTGTATTCGCTTAGCTTTCTGGCCCCAAACCTGGAGAGAAAAGTCCCAGACTCAAGTTATCTTGTTTGCATATGGGCACAGAGTTGCCAGTGTGGCTTATGGGTCAGCAAGCTGCAAAGTGAAAGGCCTCCTTGCTGTCCACCATCCACTGGGCTAAGTCACAGTTCATACGTGAGAAAGCTCAAGCGCAGGCGTAAAATACCAATGTACTTAGAGTCACAAGAATCGTAACACGCATCACATCTACATTTTCATTTTTCTTAATCATAATTCTCAAATCATCACAGCCTTTCTACTTAGTCCATAAAAAAACATAATTATAAATGGATTTCAAGTTTGTAAGAAAAGTGAGCCTATCCACTCTCTTGGCCAAAGAGGAAGTGTTACATCAGAGCACACTTGAAAAGCAAGGTGGCGTGGGCCTTTAGCCTAGCAGTCAAGTCATTCATGTCCCATATTGGAATGCCTAGGTTTCATACCTGTCTCTGGTTCCTGAATCCAACTTCCTGCTAGTTCAGACCCCAGGAGGCGGCAGGTGATGGCTCAAGTGATTAAATTTCTTCCATCTATATGAAAGACCTAGATTGACTTCCTGGATCCTGCCTTTATCCTGACTCTGTCCCACGC